AAAAAAAGTCTAACAGTGATATCCTAATCCATGATTCACTTAAATTTTCTTTCTTTGAGCTAAACAAAGCATTAACTTTTTCAATCTGCACACGAATAATTAAGAAAAAAGTAAATTCATGGGTCCTTGAATGAATAAACTAAAAACTCTAGCCTTCGAAAAAAGTCTAAATTGATTCTAAAATTAGCACAGCATGATACAATAGAAAAATTAATTGATAAATTCAATGCGATTAAGCAATCGAGGTTCAGAACGGTCTAATGAGAGATTTTGTTTACCGTTCCACAACTGTCTACTATCCATAGCATTGAATTATCGGAACCCAACATTGCTATTGGCCATAAATGTTGTTTACTAAATTTTTTTTCTGTGCGTGCACAGCCGATTAGTCTTTACGAGCGCACAGCTTATTTCTGTTGCCTCTCCTTACTTAAGATTATTTCGAGTAACTAAATTACTGTCGTCTAAACATTAAACAAGGTTTTTCGCGGCTATAGACACCACTGAGCTAACCGATTAGTCTTTACGAGCGCACAGCTTATTTCTGTTGCCTACCCCAACTTAAGATTATTTCGAATAACTGAATTACTGTCGTCTATCCGATAAACAAGGTTTTTCGCAGCTGTAAACACTACTGAACTAGTAGTTGAAATAAGAACTGAAAAAAATTCAGGCCCGTGCGGGATTTGAACCCATGACCTCTGCGATACCGGTGCAGCGCTCTACCGCAGAGGTCATGGGTTAAAATCCCGTACGAGCCTATAATTTTTTTCACATCTTATTTCAACTACCAGTTCAGTAGTGCTTATAGCTGCGAGGATCTCTTATATTCGTTTCTTCACCGCACTGCACATATATGATTTTCATATACCTACAATCATTATTTAAACAAGGTTTTGTTTTGAATTACCTCGTTGTATTTACGTCTTAAGAGAATGTTTGATACTTCTAACATCTATAACAATATTTGCGGCAACACAAAAGGCGATTGTGAAGAAAATGGCCCAGAAACTAATCTTGAGGTACTTTAACAATAAATGTCGATCTTTTTTATGTCCTCTGCCGTTCGTGAAATCCTTCACCAGCGTTACACCTTTCTTCTTGCAAATTTTCTCCACAGTTTCGGCGATTTCTGGCCTACCCACAAAGTAGCAGCAAGATTTCTTAGTTGTAGACTTGAGGGCTTTTTCAAAATCTATCCTACCTTTAATGAGCTGAAACTGGCTTTCGGCTGCATTTTCTTCGCTCGTTTCTTCCTCTGGACTGGTGACATAAAAGCGGAAGTTTATGGAAGTAACATTCTTCTCTCTGATCTTTTCCAGGAGTTCGTCTATAGGTTTCCGAAGGAAATGGTACAACGCTTTACAGCGGACTGAGTAGAAGATATCGATCCTCTTCTCTTCTCCTATTTCGTTTCCTCTGAGACGCGCTTCTGTTTTGTGGGCTAGACAGCTCAGAACATCTAATACGTAGCCACAGCCAGACCCGGTTGCGAACAGAACGTAGTGAGAAGGCGAGGGCACGTTTGACACCAGCTGGTGGTACAACTTTGAGACAGATGAGCGATAAGGTCCCCACGTACGGAAAGTGACGTCTCCAGTACTATAGGCGAGCCAATGAGTCCAAGGGAGGCAGAGCTGGTTATCGTCCTCCATAATCGATATCACGAAACCAATGTCCCAGGTTGAATTTTTTGTCATGTTAGCAAAGGTGGTGAAGGGATGAGACCGTTGTGGCGCTATTCCAGTGCTTCCTTTCGGTTGGTGCAGAAGATAGTAAACGTCGCCGACAGTATATTTCACGTCTTTGTCGAGTTTGACATACAGAATGACGTAATCTTTACCAATGACTTCTTTTTCAACAATGTGACCGTCGTGGCGTCGATAAAAGTAAATGGAGACCAACCTGTCAACGCACCAGATAATGAGTATTGGAAGGTTGGTAACATGGGCCAGTCCGTGAGTGATCTTCCGAATGTTGTCGATAGCGTACCAGATACCGGCAAAGATATGCAGGGCCATTGCCAAAGAGTAGCTTCTTTGATTGGCGTAGTTGGATCTGCTGAGAGGAAAGAAGAAGCAGAAAAGAACGATCATCAGCACAAAACGGTAGATCTCGTCTGAAGTTAGATGAACTCCTTTGTGGTCGTTAAAAGTCCAGCCTTCCACAGCTGCTGGGTCCCAGGGCTTCGTCCAGTTTAAGTGATCCGGAGACGTGCTATAGTTAAAGGTGCTTGGTGGATAATATTTCAGCTCGGTTCCGTCAATTAGGGGTGGTACAAATATTACGAGAACATGGGCAAGGGACGGAACGGCAATCAGGAATATCCCAGCAAAAGTATGCATTCTTGAATGAACCTCGCGGATTCCATCCACAGTGATCCAGTTTGGAGTGACCTCACTGATGAAATTTGGCAAACACCACATCATCGTATAGAACATCAAGTTCTGAGAGGTTATAATCAGTCGAGCAGTGACAGCCCACACCACATTGGTTAAAGTTTCTCCTATGTTGGTTCCCCAGATGCGTTTTGGGAGTTTACCACTTCTTCCGAGCACCACATCACCATTGAATATAAAGTGATCCACGATACACAACGTTGTCACCAGCAGAAACACGGCCCAGACTATAGCTTCGTATGAAATGGAAAATCGCTTCCAACGTTGGCGGACGAGAGAGGTGGTCTTGTTGAAGGTCACCACCTGATCCTCTTGACCGTCGGGAACTTCAATGAAAAATCCAGGTGACTGTTTTGAACTTTCGCCCCTTTTTGAAGGTTGCTCTGTTTCTTCATGGCCGTATTCCACCTCCTTTTAAAATGGAAAATGAAAAAAAACAATAATTAACATGATAAAACTGCGTGTGGTCTGAACGTTACTTCAATGACATGTGCTAGCGAAACGGGTCACTCTTCATCCCACTCAGAAAATGTCTGAGAAGACGTTGTAGAATAAAATATTCTTTTATCTTGATTCATGAATAACGCTTGAATCTT